CGGTATATGCGCCATCTGGAACTCCATCCTTGGCAGCAGGACTGCTGTTGCAGTGGACGTTTGTGGGGTCCAGATTTCTCAGCAACATGACCATGCTGTCTTTCCGCGATGTCAGTTTGTTGGGTGGGTGAACATTTTATTGGTTTAAACAAACTCAAAAGTGTTGTGGACATGACTACACCAAAATAGATAAAGTCAATACAATGAAGTTTGATCTGAAGTACCATTCGACACTGCGAAGCACACAACCAAACGAAGTTAGATATCGAGATTCTAGATCAGGAAACAGTAGAAGCAGCTTTGTAAACACGAAGTAAAACTCTGCGGCGCACACACGACAAAGCACACACCACACTTCTGTACTTGTTAACTACTCCAAATCAGTCTTGAATCCTGTGCTCCAAATACATCTAGGATATAGAGAGACCATGATCTAGAGTCTTGCTCTATTTTAAAAAACCCGCACCAAATACGCGCCAAATTTTGAAAACATCGATAAAACAAAGTAAACATTTTGTGGATTTAAACGAACTTAGCGTGTTGGGGACATTACTACACCAAATGTATCTAGAAAAAGTCAATACAATGAAGTTTGGCATGAAGTATCGATCGAAACTACGAAGCACACATCCAAACAGTGTTGATTATCGAGATTCTAGATCTGGATAATATAGAAGAAGCTGCTGTCACACACACACGGCGAAGCACAAACCGAAACGGAAGTAGTCCACAGTGAAATGAAATGGCACTGGCAGAGTGAAAACATCTAATAATTTCGACTGACAGGAGGAAAAAACATCAAACCTGAAAAATCAAAAGGTAGCTTCCGAACTTTTAAAATATGCCCACGTAACCCTTTGTAAAAATTCTTAACTGAATCATATTTTTGTAGATTTTATGGGTACCTGCTTTAAAAAGGTATTCTGACCTCTGAGAAGCAGACTCCGGGATGGATCTTGAAGAGGGGGGAGGAGAGCAGAAATGGACAGGCTCCGAATACAGTGACCCCAACACTGAGAACAAGGTTGGCAAGGTGTGTGTGTGTGTGTAGGTATTCTGACTTTTTCTAGAAATATTTGGTGTAGTCATGTTCCCAACATGCTGAGTTCGTTTAAACCCACAAAATGTTCACCCACCCAACAAACTGACATTGCAGAAAGACAGCATTGTCATGTTGATGAGAATCTGGACCCCTTCGCTCCATTATAATAAGAAGATTAGAAAACGCATCGGAAGCTCACTATTGAGCGAGGATCCACACATGAAATGCCATAGTCATATTAATATATTCAGTACAATTCTTTTTATTGTTATTTATTATTATTACTATTCCTATTATTA